TGTATATCATATAATATATACAAACATATGATATATGTGTACTGAATAATATACATAGGCTGGATAATAGAAAACAATTTATGTTTTAAGTAAATATTGAAGTGACTGTTTTTCCTGCACCATTTTGCATTCCTGTTACAGAAACTACACAGGTATTTTCTTGCCAGTTCCTAAAGTGATCCTGTGGGTGGCCTGCGACACGAGCCTTTAGTGACTCCGCACAATAGAAGCCAACCTACCAAGTATATGACATTGTGAATGAACCTCAGAAAAATTTCCTGAGGTCTCGAAGTTTCTGTGAAAGCTTCAAGATTATCTGCTTCTTTGCGGTTTAAACGGGGGAAATCCACTGGTGGTATTTGAAAAGCCACACAAGTCCTGATTTGGTGTATTGAACCTCACTTTCATGCTGTTTCTGCCCAAAGTGAATAACTGAATCTACTCAGGGGAAAATGCCCCCCTCCGGCCCCCAAACTAAACTAAGCAACTGGCCCGTCAACTTTCCAAATAGCCGTTCGGTGAGGCAGCTGAAGGGGCTGTTCCCCGTGAGAAAAGACTAAACGAAGCAATGCACAAAGCGGGGCTTCTCTGCTACTCTCCAGGATGAGTGGCACCACAGGCAACCGTAAACGGACGCAGAAAGGAAAACTTGTACGGATGTGCACTTCATGGTTTCTATGCTTGAACCGTGGTTATGTAAGCGGATTCTTCGTTTAGGAAACACACACCGAATCATGCAGAGAAGCACATCTTGTCTTGCATCTCACAAATGCTTTCGGAAAAACAAATCTGGGCAGTACCAAATAAGGACTTCCTGTGTTTCCTTATTTATCTCCCGCTCACGTGGACTTTGAGTGCAGGAGGGGGTGGGAGTGAGGAGCGTCCCCCACACAGCTGTTCGGGTATGTCTGGAAGAGAAGCCCACCCACATTGCTTTTGGACACTGGGTGTGACTTCGAGGGTATCAGGTTTGTCTGTTAGGGAACCTGCCAACCTCTTCCCTGCTTAATTGGCATCTGTGTTTCCTCGCATGCCTTCTGAATCAAAACTTCCCTTTCGTCAGGACAACCCCCTGAAGCCTTTTCTCCCTTCTGAATAGACTCTAGCTATTAGTTTAGCTATAAATATTTCCATTTCATGGATTCCAGGACCTGCAAGAAGCTCAAGGTCAAATCCAAAGGCCAGAGCTAGGTCTGCAAAGCACGCTTTTCCACTGAATTAACAGTTCCTCACTATCACCGCTGGGGAATCCTGGCCCCGCCTTTACTCTGCCTCACTGTCAGACTGGAGCAACCTTAAGAAATATGGAGCGCAAGGTGGGAGGGTTTGTAAGACCCCCTTCCCAAAGTGAGCCTAGCTTTCCCCCTCAATGGATAAAGACTGGTTGAAGTGAGGTTAGGTGTTGAAAAATATTCTCGATAGTCCCTTCATGTGGTGATATTTGGTAAAGTTACTGCCATGTATTCTAGAAGGTTCCTCTTTTGTTGCCATAGCCTAAAGTGGTATAGGCCATCATGAGCTTGGCAGGATGGTGCCCTAAGGTCGAATCACTCAGAATTCAGCTTCTCTAATTAACAGTGGCCACAGTCACAAACTAGGGGAATCTGCCCATGGTAGCATGTGTTTTCCACCACCCTGCACTTACTGTTCCCTTGTCGCGTGGCAGAACTCTTTCCCCTGTCTTGATGAGACTAGCAATCAAGGCACAAAGGAATGGTAGCAAGCAGAGCCTGTCAGAGCTGTGGAGGCCACGGCATGAGGCTGCCTGTTCACATGAGAGTGAACTGGGAACTAGAGATATGACAGGCAATGGAACTAGCTTATAAATCGTTAAGCCCAGGCCCACAGAATCATTTCCTTCTACTAGTCCCCACTTCCCAAAGATCCTAAAGCCTCTCAAAATGAGGGTGAAATCCATGAGCCTCTGGGGGACGTTTTATACTCAAACCATAGCCGTTGAGTGTGAGGATTTACAGCATGAGTGATGAAGTCTTTTCCTTTTACCTGAAGAGACACGGAAACCGTTTGTTCTTTGAAGGTTGTACAGATGAGGTGTGAGAACATCTCTGGTGGAAAACAAAGCCTGACCCGAAGCAGAATGATGACAAAAGTGTGCAGCCTGGACCAGATAGGCCTGGCAGTTGTGAGGTAAACGCCACACAGGCTTAGGAGATTGTGTGCTGAACACCTTAATCACGCCAGATACATTCGCGGCTTCCAGCAGACAAATGTCTCTGGGTCACATTACGTTCAGAGCGCCACATCCTGAACACCGCCGTTTCCCTGTGCTCTTTCGTCCCTCTTCATCCAAATCAAGGGTATTCCCAAGCATCTCTCAAGCACGGAAGTAGGAAAGGCCATTGCCTTCTCCTAGACGTCTGTGTGAGCTATTCCATGCCACTTTCCGACCAAAAGACTTCAAACTCCCAGAAAATTTTCTAATTTGCATCTCAGAGAAATAATTTACACACTTGGGGAATAACTTAAGTGTCCGGGGGTGGCACAATACAGAAATGAAGCAGGTATAATAATTGCAGGATAATTGTCACGTATTTTCTCAGGAGATGGATGCTCATATGTTGTAGATATGTTGCTGAATCCTGGGGAGTTTGCTTTTCTCTAAATTGGGTTAACTCTGTTTATTACCATTATGCAATAGGAACCAATATCCTTTTTTATTTTTTATTTTTACTGCTTTTCTATAAAATTTATTGGCACTTAATAATTTGTCTTCTTTACCCAAACAAATTTAGTGATTTTTTTTGTAACAACTGTTGATGAAATGGCATGTACTTTAAGTCATTTTAGACAAAAACCTTTCCAATTAAGTTGTAAACTGTAAGCAAAAAATCCTAAAGGATGGCTGAAAATTGAGCATGTGGAAGTCTATGACTTGGAAAGTTAATGTAAACTATTTTAACAAACTCTTTTTTCTTTCCAGCAGGCGCTCAATTATTAATAGCCAACCAGCAGCGAGTACAGATCCCACCACTTCAGACTCTGATCCTATGGGCAACCACCCTGGCCAGAGTTAGAAGCATCATCTCAAACCCCACCCTGGAATTAAAGAGCCAGATTCTATGGCTCTACATGAAAAAAAAAAATCCAAATCACCTCCAGGTTTATTAACACTTAGGAAACTCTACCATTGAAATCATAGTCTTACTCTTCCTTGCTTTTCAGAATTGAGCACTGAACCCAGGGCCTTTTCACCCTAGACACGTGCTTTGCCACTGAACTATATCCCCCATTCTTGAATTTTTTGGGGACAGGTTAGGCTATCTTTGAACAGGAGATCAGCCCACCTCTGCCTCCAAAGACTCAGGTTCTATGTGGTAGAGCTCCCCCATGGTCACAGGACACTGCCTCTTCTCACTTTGAGAACGTTGCAATTAGGTCGTCTGGATTTGCTGAGAGGAAGAAAGCAGAACGCTTCAATGCCAATGAGCAAGTCTATAATTAATTAGTGAAGTGATCTTTGCTTCAAGTTTCCCATGTTTTTAGAGCAAGCTGTCTGACTTGGCTGGGGCTCGGGCCAGCATGTGCGTGAATTTCACAATTCACAGATGTTAGACACTCTCAGTCTCAGGAAAGGAAGAGAATGTCAAGTTTTAAATAGCTTCTCCCTGGCTGGAGCAACAAATCAAACATCTTTACCAACACATTTTGAACCAGAACTCCTTACAGGAAAATGTCAGCTTTCCCAGTGGCTTGTCTCACAACTTTGACATTTTCTGATGTCACTCCTTCGCAGGTGGCTACGGTTACAGCATGAATGGGGATGTGTGCTTGCCATGCCGGTGACACTCGGGCACACTGCTTTTATTTCCCTGTTGGACTCTAGTCCTATTTAGCTTCTGAATCATATTTCATTCAATCTCTAAATCCACAGGGCCAGGATAGGCTTACAGCCTGCATTCAGAAAGGAAACAAATTAATCTTCACGGCGACTTTGTCTGATAATATATTAATTCTTGAATTATGAACAATATTATTTTATAGCAAAGTAGGTCAAGAGGGATTAAAAGTGGCAAATGTGAGACCTAAGAGAGTGAAACAGACCGATAGAGTTTGAAAAACGTTTTGTTATTTTCCAATGAGAGTTAATTTGAAATAATTCTAAGTAAATATCCAAAGGAAAAAATTAATTCAAAAACCTTATAAAATAAAGTATCCATTCCTATTTTACAACCACATTTTAAAATGCTGTTACTTATATCTGTATGGATAAAATAAAAGAGTACAGTCTCTTTTATTTGGGGCAGAAAAAAATTCTAGGGACGTAGGCATGATAACTCTCTCTGTAGCTGAAACGAAGAGTGAGTTCTAGGTTAAATATAATCAAGGAATTTCCCTGTCTTTGCTATTTGAGATTGTGACCACAACAGGCGGTTGGCTGAAAGGGAGACTCAAGGGAGGAGGGGGTGGGGAGAAGACAGAAGAAAAAAAAGACTCTCCTAAGCTTCTCTGCAAAACATTCTAGCCCCAGTAGCAGGGACAGAAGCTCTCAAATCAAACCAGGATCCAGATACGAGGCGGTGTTACACAGCTGAAGAGAGACGGACATTTATTAGCTCAATGACACAAGCCTTGGCTCCTGAGATTAACCTCTGATGCCATTCATGCCAACACCCAATCACGAGCAGGATCAAAAGTGCGGAGATGCCTACAAATTGGCAACAAGTGCGGCCACTCTACGTCAGGGGCTCTCAAACTGTGACAGAGAGGAAGAACAGTTTTAGAGAGGGTGCCCAGCTGGTAAGAGTTGACTGTTTATGATGCTCTAGGGACTTGAAGACTCTCATTGGCTGAAAGGAAGAAATGCCCCGCCTCTTTGTAAATCTGAGCGAAGAGGGGGAAGTGTCTCAACTTCTATGTCTGATGGCATTTGACCCTATTGCTTTCAGCCTCCCTGGCTACATACCTAGATATTCTCAGGTGTATATGTATATTTTATAGAATTGCTCTCCATCTGTTGGTACCAAAGAGAGGTGAAGGAAATGAATTTTGAAACTTCACGGTGTTCCACCCTACAGTACTGCCCCGACCCTTACTTCCAGCGGTGAGTTGAAATATGACGTGACTTCTGTCAAAACTGAACTGGTGTGGAAACTGTACTGGTGTGCCTGTGTTTTCCGAGTGTTTCAGCTGAGTACAAAAGAACCACTCGTTGTTTTGTGAGCACAAGGATACTACTTTGTACTTTGTGTGGACTTAAAGTGACAGTTTGTTCGCATCTTTTCTAGAGTTAGCTTTTGCTTTATTTCTTGAGTGACAAAGTTTGAAGACATCCATTTAAAAAAAAATTGTCACACCCCTGGATTCAATAAGGAGAGAGAGAGAGAGAGAGAGAGAGAGAGAGAGAGAGAGAGAGAGAGAGAGAAAGAGAGAGAGAATGAAGTGTGGTTAGAAGATCAGTGAGGAACTGGGAGATGTAGGAGGTTGGAGGACTGGGATGAGTATGATTCTCAGAGTGTTTATCAAAACATTAGGTAAAAATGTTCATGCCATTTTAGTTGTTAAAAGTATTAAAATCTATTAGTTGGCGTGCTTGGTGTCCACCCACCCCAGGAAAAGAAATTTCATTGGGCAGGGATGTGATGATCTATTGGGCAATCTTCAAGTCAAAACAGACACAAGAAATTGTGATTTAAATCTTAAAAAATAGATGGCCATTGTTATATGAAACAGATTGTGGCTTGTCATTTTAGCTATAAAGAATATTTTCTTTTCGATTTGTTTCAAAACAAACATCATCTTTTTGACAAATATGACTTCTCAAACCTGTGATGAAACTGAATTTTATCTGTGTTTGTGGAAAAATATTTACCTAGCACTGAGAGGGAATACCAGTGAGAGTTGACAATAGTATGCCCGTGTCGGGGGAAGAGACTGTTTCAGATTAGAGTTTGCTATTTTTAAACGGGCAAATGAAATCTGAAGAGAGCTTCCCGTGCAAAGCTATGGGAGACATTCACACCACACAAAGCAGTGTGATGCTGTTAATTTAACGGCATGAGATTTGAGGTTGGAATTTGGTACTTTGTACGCCTAATGAGAGAGATCCCGAGTGTTGAAAATGGCAGGGTTAGAAAGGGGTTAAACTGCCACTCGCCACCTGTGCCTGCTGGAGGCTCACACTAGAATCTGAGTCGGTAGCTCTGGGCAGGACTCGGTTACCATAGAGCTTTGCCTTGGATTAGGAAAGACATTCTGTTTTCATCGGTGTAATTCGTTCTGGCGTAGGACTGACTCTTTCTTTTCCTGTGAGGTTTTTGATGGGAAAACAGAAAAGGAAAGATGAAGGGAATAGGGGTACAGCAAGAAAAGAGACTACAGATTCAAAGGAGATGGAGAGGAAGGAGACAGAGGCAGAAGCAGAGAAAGACTGGTATTGATTTCCCGGGTTGAAACCGGAAATGGGAATGGTCCTCTGAATCCTCCCTTACCGTCAGTATTAGCAAAACAGTATTAGCAAAAACAAATGGCCCCAGATTCTATCTTCTTGGATAACCTAAACATTAAATTTAGCTGGATCTGGGCATAGGAATGGTAAAGCAGTAGACCCAAGATGATTGCGTTATTGAAGACCCTTTTTCTAGTCTGAAAAACCACCCAGGCCAATCACCAACTTTTAGACCCAAGCTTCTAAGAACACAGCCGTGACTCAGCAGCAGTTTTTATAATGTTCTGTCCCTGGCATTTCCTGAGGACTGTGCTGGATTCCCAGCAACTTCACTAATTCCCTAGTTTGTGGATTAGCTAGCCCCTTCTATCCTACACACCTCTTCCTGTGGGCATTTCCAGTGTAAAGAAATACAAGCAGAGAAATTGCTTTTCATGTAGCCCCAGCGACCTATTAGCTCACTGAGAGATGGAACCTCAGGTCTCAGCATACTGAAAAGTGCAAAGCAGTCAAAGTCTTCTTCAATAGCTCTCAGTTTTAGAGTCGCCTTCCCAGCTGGGGAAGCAGGCACAAGAAAATGTGCAGAGCTGTAGCACGGCGGTTCAGTGTGGTCTGGGAAGATTTAGAAAGCTTTTTTTTTTTTTTTTAGGCTAAAATGTCTATTCATTTATAGTGAAATACGTCAAATAATACAGAGAGAAGGAAATATGACCACTGTGCCTCATAAGTAAGGCACATGACCATGAAAGTTCAGGAGAATGTGGGTGTGGTGTGCTCATGCTTGTAATCCCAGCACTCAAGAGGCTGAGGCAGGAGGATGGAAATTCTAGGCTAGCTAGCGATATCCTGTGTGAAAAGAAAAGAAAAAACGCTTTGATGTTTATTATTGATATTTTTTGAACTCTACAGTACTTAGTATTTGATAGTTGATGTCTCCTTAACTATTTTAACCTTTTTACATAGGTCAGTTTCCTATTGGCTCCTATCATCGCTCCTTAGTGAATTAAGGAGGGAGTAAAATATTTCTGGGGAGAGTGGAATTATGGTAGGGGAAAGCGTAATAAAAATATATTATATGAAATCCTTTTCAATAAAAAAGATAAAAAATCTATGACAACACAGGAATCCAGTACTGTTCCCCTGGCTGTCCAATGAGTGATTAGCATGAGTTGATTTTTTTAAGCAGACAACCTTGGTAGTTCTCAGTTTACAAAATCTATTTTAAGAAAGACCAAATTTAATCAGTTCATAATCATAGTCATCTACATACTTAAACTTGTCTTTCCCGACCATGTCTTTGAGGAAGCATAAAGACGCATTTTGCTATTGTTGTTGTGTTAGTGAAGGACGGGGTAGATGGATATTTTTAACTCCAAGCTTCTGTCATTCATGAATTCCTTTTTTATATAGAACAGAATGAATAGCATGCTGTTATCACTAATTGATGGATACTAGTGCCAGTCCAAAAAGGATAGCTTAAATACAAAGTACTATGATCTGTTAGAGATTTCGCAGTTTTTTTTCCTTTTCCACTTGATTATATTGACATATAATCGATTTGGTTGTGTTTTGAATCAATACTAACTTCCGTCTTTGCACAAACTTTTCTGAAAGGCATTCATATCTGCGGAGCTTATTCTATTTGTATTTATTGACATTGGCAATTGCACAGAACAAGAGAAGAGGGCTAAAAGTCATTAAGTCTGTCATTTGATTTCTGATCCGCTTAACAAAGATATCAGAGCATGAGTAAATTTTGCAAATCAGCAAATAAATCAGTGGGTTAGTTTCCTAATAAGCAAAGCATATGTACACTAAGTTTATTGGTTGTTTTTAGCCAGGTAAATAGTAGAAAAGAACGTAAAAGTCAATATCTCAGAATCAAAGTCACTGTGTATCACTTGCGGCATAAATTATGTCCTTTAAGTGATTTTCTTTTTAGCATTACCATTTAGCTTATTAAGTACACTTTTAATCCATTCTGTGAGGCATTCAATTCTTTCAGAACACCTTTTAAAAACATAAGCTTGTGGAAAAATAAAAATAAATCAAGATTACATTTTGAAATCATGGGATAAAGTTCAAAAATAAAAAAAAGTCAACACCCTTACAATGTGATCCATTTATAAAATATTTTGTGTTCTTTCGCAGTGAACCTCTATTCAAGGACAGTTGGTTCATGAGTGTTTCTCATATGAAGTAGTACCTTATGTGTGTGTGAATTTTGTGTTATTTGTTTAAAGGTCAACTTTATTAACGGTGCTTTCTAAATATATCTGAAGAAGAAGGGTGGTGACAATCCACTTAGAGTGGAAGGCCATTCCTTTGTGGAGTAAAGCTCACATAAAGGCAGAAGCATGGCTAGTGTGGCCGTCGTCACTTGCCCTCTCTCTGCACTGGCATCCTTCTTAGGTCGAGACAAGGCACGCTGTCTCCCAAGGATGGCAGTGACATCTCTGCCCTCTCCTTTCTTGTTGACATCAGGAAATGGGAAGAGGAGGAAGAGAGTCAGCATGGGTGCCATGACCTCAGACTAGATCTCTGGCTGACTTCTTCTTGGGCATGTAGACCTTGTGAGAAGGGATTCCCCCAGGCTCACATGTTGCAGCAATTGCTGTCTTCTCTCTCTTTTTTTTTTTAAATGTTTAATGTAATAAAGACTTCTAGCTACTGCAAATTCCAGGGGATCACAACAGAGGCATTACTTCTAATTACAGACAAAGTAAAACACAAAACAAAACAAAAGACAAACAAAAAAACAAAGATTAAAAAAATCTTTATGTGTTTTTAGGAGGACTGCCTAAATAAATAATACATACTTAATATAATTTCTAGTGTTGCATAGAGACTAGATGCATCTTTCAATGAGGGAATCAGAGTTGAGTTTCTCTAACAATTAGGCTTGTCTAGCTGACAAGAAGGGCTGAACATTGTAGTTGGCTTATGTTGTCTAAATTCAGTTCTTAAAGGCCTAAGATAGGAACAGGTAGATACATTTCAATTAAAGAAATATTGACTTTTATATATGTGTAGGGTCTAGTATATATATCAGGTGCGGTCATGAAGAACTACTTCAAGTTCTTACCACAATGCAATTATAATGGTCTTTATTGCTTTGGAGATTCTAGCCCATTTGAATGTTCTAGGAATAGGGAAATATGTCAGCAGAGTGTGTGTACTGTGTGCCAAAGATCTGGACTACAGTACCACCTTTAAAATTATCTCATGGCCGGGCGGTGGTGGCGCACGCCTTTAATCCCAGCAATCGGGAGGCAGAGGCAGGCGGATCTCTGGGAGTTCGAGGCCAGCCTGGTCTACAAGAGCTAGTTCCAGGACAGGAACCAAAGCCTTGGAGAAACCCTGTCTCGAAAATCCAAAAAAAAAAAAATTATCTCATGATGGTCTTGAAATCTTTAGATTGTCCCAAAATTAGGGCTCCTGGGAGTTGAGATGGAGACCTTCAAGGTCTTAACATCATTGTGTCTCTGAATTTTTTGCACTTTAGAATTAAGTAATATGGGCCCTAGACGGATTGAGTTGCTGGTACATATCAAAATACTAGCAAAAAGAAGATGAAAATTTATAGCTCTTGTTCAAATTCCAAACTCTGGTTCAACATTATACATACTAATGACAAGAACGTTTTATTAGATTCA